ACTCCTCCTTTCGGTCCCCCGCCCGACCCTCCATCTCCAAATGTGCATGACCTGGCCAACCAACGAAGAATCTATACCGCGTAGCCATTCGACCCAACCACTCGACACCGTCCCCATGCCTCGAATCCCCGCGCACAGGACTCGCATACACCGCCCCCCCCCCTCCGTCTCCCCATCCCATCTACAGTATCCAGCGTTCTATGAACCACAGTGGGGTAAAGTTACCCGCGATCGACAGAAAAAATTTTTCGCAAACCGTGTACGTCACTAGCCGAGGCGGGCCGAGTTTTAGCAACTGTTTTTTCTTTGACAGTTTAAGGAGGAACTCGCATACAGCCTTCGCGGTAATAAATTCCAAAAATAATCTATCTGTCAGTCTCATCCGGTAAAAGTTATCTAAAAGCACTTGAAAGTGGCAATGTGCCGGTACCAATTTATCGTCAAAACTAATGGGAGGAATATAAAGGAACTGAAATATAAACCATTGAAATTGCCCTAAGAATGGCGCTTTCTTACAACAGGCCAAGCCCACCAGCACTAAATTTATTTCTATTAGTTCACGAATTTAAAAGAAAAAAAAGAATTTCCCCTGATATCTATAAGCATCGAATTTTCAAATTATCAAAACAGTGTAAAATAAGACAGGTTTCTGTACAGTTATCATTCCTTTTATTCCCTTACTTTCAAACCCTTACTTTTTACATAAACACACATCATCTAAAATTAAAATTACAATCAAAGAAAAGCAAAACCTTATGTGAGTGTCTCGACCATTTTGATGGTTCTGCACAATTTGCAACTGTAAAACAAACGCTCGGGATGGCTGTCCACTTGGCTTTCGCAAATCAATTACCTGGAAAAAAAGCAAAATTTGCAAAGGCAACTGCTAACTTTTATAAATGTGAGTAAATTTTATATAATGGCTGAAACTAAAAGTCATTTTCCGATTGCGAAAAGCAGAAAGATGAGACGAAAGGAACAAAAATTTCGTTGGTTCGTTGAAAAATAAGCTTACAAAGTCAAATGCTTTTTAAGATTTGTAAAGAATGTCTAATCTGGTTAGCATTATGCATTTCGCATCATCAGAGGAAATTCGATGCATATGCATTATTCTTTAGGGGCAGAAGAAGTGACCGTTAATTTTTTGACACCGCTCATTAATGCAAAACGATTGCTTAATGCAACGATGGTCGGCGCGAAGATGCGTTTTTTACACAGTTCTTCCCCAGGTCTTTGTCGCTAACGGCAATGTTTTTTTTTCCGGCAGATGCTTCTAGCTAAAACAATTGAGACTGGCCACTACGACTGCCAGGAAGCATTCCCTTAAAATTTCAGCTTTCTAGCTTTCCTAGCTTCCGATTTAGCAATCAATACAAAAGGCAGTACGGGCCTAAAAGGCCCTGTGAAGAAAAGAAGGGGCCGGAACAGCGGCCCAACAGCGAAGGGTATTTGACGGAGTAACCGCACAAATCGTGCATGCAATAGGAAAATGCAGGGGTGGGGTGGTAATCGCCGAAGGTCTGTGGTGAAAATGAAAGAAAGAAAATAAAAGGGTCAAACTGTTGTGACGAATACTTTTTTTTTTAAAAAATCAGGGTGGAATTTAAAAGAAGTCATATGAAGAGAAGTATGTAAATAAGCCTGCCTGCCAAAAATTTTCATGAGCCTGTAAGTAGAAACTACGTGAGCATGAACGTTCATTCAAAATCGGTGAAAATATATATAGGCACCCGTATACACTGACCTTTCATCTATATGAGTTTTGTATTTCATTGATAATCCAAAAAAAAGCAAAAAACTTACTTGCCAACCGACTGGCTCAGAAAACATGAAAGTAGCACCTTCATCGAGATCGATAGCGGACGGACCAAGATGGACAACAACCCTCCAAAATGAAATTACGCTTAAAAAATGAAGTTCCAAAGAGAAGATCAATTTCAAAAAAAATTCTAATTTGCCCACTGTCTAAGGCGAAGATTTTGCATATCGGTAAAAAAGTAACAAAGTTAATTTTCAGTAACTGCTAGACTAGTAGCTATCCCCAAAACCATCAAAATTAACCTTGATTGCTCAAAAGCCAGCAATTTTCACCAATGCTTTTTGTTAACCAAATTCAATGCCAAAAATGAATGTGTAGGGTAAACTGAATGCATTACACAATTAATTTAACCCCAACTTTCATGAACTTCAATTACCACAATCGTCATACTGACGAAGTCCAATTGTAGTAATGGTAAGAAATGTATACGAGTTAATGAACCAAAACAATTCTTACTATTATAATAATCTCACAATTTTTCTAATTTTTATTTCTCACCTTTTTCCATTTTTCTCTTTATTTCATTCCTTCTTATTATAATACAACTTTCTATTCTTATTTGCAATAAAACGACAAAACACGA